ATATATATATATATATTTAATATGCCAACACATGTAAAGGTAATGGGTTAATTACCGTTGTCTCCCCCCAAGTTTTTAAGTGCTTTTAAAACTGACCCACTATTTTTTCCCACACATGAAATTCTATAAATAGGTCTTACTAATGCATCACTAACAAGATCCACATACCCAAGCATGCTCAAACACATCATGGCTATGAAAGATTTAATTTAATTAATTCTTTATTAGTTGTTTCCCTTGAATTTCACTCCCATAATTTTTGTGCAAGTGAATTTGCGATTAACCTTCTTCTGATCACATGTCTCTTTGAGAGAAAGTCACTATAATCAGAGGAAATCTTTGCTGAGGGCATTCTAAGAAAGATTTGTGAAATCAAAACTACCCATGGAAGGTTGTAAAGAAGAATGTTTGTTATATAATGATTCTTGTCACTAGAATGATTATTCTCATCACATAGGAAATTTCAAATGACAATGTAACAAGTGTTTGTTTTTGTATAGAGTGCGTACCTATGAAAAAGAAATGTTTGGGAAGCAATTCGAACTTGAGGGATGGGTGTCTAAATGATCACGGTGCTAACTCACTCTAACGAGAAATCTTACATACACACATCTGTTCAACTGAAGTTTGTGAGGTAACTTCACTGAAAATCCTCACGAGACAACACTCGTCCACTAGGGGAAACCTATGGATTTAACTGCTTGTTGCATATGCTAAATGCAATCAGATAACCTATGAAAATGACATTGTAAATATATTTTCATTTGGACGTTTTGTATTACTAGGGACTAGCAATATGTAAGTTGGGGGGTGTGATGCATAGTTAAAATTAACATCTTACTATGCTTCTATGAGATTAATTATGCTTTGATGGAGTTTAAAATGATACCATTTGAGGGGAAATAAGTACAAGGGCTTAAAGGCAACAACATCAAACTTTCAAGTAGTACACATGTGTTCTAAAGGAGAATTAAAGAAAGAGGAAACAAAGCTTCAACGTTCGAACGCCATCTTGAAATCATTGAAGATCTCTAGGATATTGCTAGGGTGATGACAGGATGCTTGTTGCAGCTAGTTATTGTGTATGACAAAAACTACATGAATACCATGTTTGAACTCCAACAGCTTACGTACGCCCTTCAAAGAAGACATGCTTCCATGTTCGAATGTCATGTAATGTTCGAACGTACATCCCAAATAGGCTACAGGAAGATTAGATTTTCATCTGGATTTTGTGGCATTCACTTGGACTTTAAGCACCTAGGTCTGTCCTTTTGCCCTCCTCCTTGTCTATAAAAACCTTCCCTTGGAACTTGTTAAAGATCATCTTTTGGAAGTGGAAAAATCCTCCAAAAATAACTAGCTTTCTTCTACTTCACTATTAGTTTCATTAGCTTTCATTGTAAAAGCTACTTTCTTCACTTAGAGGAGTGAACCTCTCTCACCTTTCTAGCTTTCTTGTAGCCTTGAAGGGTGGGTAGTGTTTCACTCATTCTTTGTCAAAGATAGGCTTATTGTGTAGTATACGTTATCTTATAATTCCTTTACTTGGAGGGATGAAGATCACTTACTTTTCTAGCTTTTCCAAAGTCATGAAGAGTGAGTAGTTTCTCATTCACTCTTTAGTAAGAGGTGATGAACATGTATCAATCGTTTGGAAGTTATATTTGTGCATTTCATTTATGCTTAATATTTTATCTTTTGATTGCTTATTGAATGATTGAATGCATCTAGCAAAGTTAAGATACTTTATACAATCATGAATCTCTTCTAAGACAAGTTAACTCTTGATATAGGAGGATTCATTGGCTCTTAGCAAGTACTTAAGCTAGGTCTTCATGAAAACTTTTCAATCTTCATTATCATCGTGTTGTAATGAAGAATGAAATAATATAACAGTTGCTGGATGGCTAAAGGGTGACGCTTTCATTTAAGAGAATCTTATATTCTGTCTAGGAAATTCTATAATCATCAGAACTACAAATCTCAAGGATTCCAGTAACTTTGATCTTTGTCACTAATTACTTCAAAACACTAACATTAGTTCCCTATGGATTTGACTCCGGACTTAACTGGATTATAGCTACAACTTGACCACCTGCACTTGGGTGTACACATTTCGGATCAAGTCAATGCAGTGTTAATATTCTTTCAAGAGATTATGCCAAATTCCAGCTTTATTCAAGTAACCGTTTGTTCGATATATTACATTTGTATTACTTTCTTCGTTAACAATATTCCGATTACATGTAATCATTGAGTGAATAGTCACCATAACGTGAGTGTTTTCTTTGCTAAGTAATTTCCAAGAAAGGATTGACATCAAAGCTAATTCTTACACAACAAAGTGAAGGGTGGTGATATTTTCTAAGTGATTTTTAAGTAAAGGAGTCATTGCACACACACACACACACACATGAGTTTTCTGAAAATATATAGACAGTGTTACAACTACTGTGTGTTACTCTTATAGTGAACAAGGAAATGAGTTATCCTAGCAACACAGAAGAATGATGATTTAATTTTATCTTTGAAAAATATGAATTATGAAATCCTAACCATTGAAGTTTGCAAGTATCTTTACTGGAAACCTTCATAAGATAAAACTCGTCCACTAGGGATCATCTAGGGGTGTAACGGCTTATTGCATATGCTAAATGCAATCGTGGAATCTATGAAAGTGATTTTATTTTCTTATTTGTTTTTATTACTAAGGACTAGTAATATTTAGTTTGAGGATGAGATTAATCAATTTTTAAGTTGATTGTGTGCATGAATTAGGTAAAAATCACTAAGTTACGGTGAATTAGGGTTAATGCAGAAGTTTTATGTTAAGTAGGGTTTTGTGCGTAAATACTAGAAATTAAAAGGATCAAAGTGCACAAGCTAAATATGGGAGGGGTGGCAAGTGTAATTATACCAAA